TGAAAGAAGAAATTAAAAAATTCTTTGAATTGAACGACAAGGAGGACACCAATATCCTAAATGTATGGGATGCAGCAAAAGCAGTAATAAGAGGAAAATATATAGCAATAGAAGCTCACATCAAGAAACAAGAAAGAACTCAAAGAAACAACCTAATCTCGAAGCTCAAAGATCTAGAAAAAGAACAACAAAAAAACCCCAAAACCAGTAGAAGAAAAGAAATAATAAAAACAAAAGCAGAAATAAATGAAATTGAAACTAAAAAAACAATCCAAAAGATCAATGAAACCAAGAGCTGGTTCTTTGAAAAAATAAATAAAATAGACAAACCCCTAGCCAGGCTCACAAAGGAAAAAAGGGAGAAAGCACAAATAAACAGGATCATCAATGAAAGAGGAGAAATCACAACGGACACAGCAGAAATCAAAAGAATAATCAGTAACTACTATGAACAGTTATATGGAAACAAGTTTAACAATCTAGAGGAGATGGACAAATTCCTACAACTCTACAATCACCCAAAGCTAGATAAAGAAGAAATAGAACACCTAAACAGACCAATTACAAGCAGCGAAATTGAAATGGTAATCAAAAACCTCCCCAAAAACAAAAGCCCAGGACCTGATGGATTTACAAATGAATTCTACCAAACATTCAGAGACGAATTAGTGCCTATCCTTCACAAACTCTTCCAAAAAATTGAGAAGGAAGGGACAATACCAAACACGTTCTATGAAGCCAACATTACACTAATACCAAAACCAAACAAGGACAACACAAAAAAGGAAAACTACAGGCCAATCTCCCTAATGAACACTGATGCAAAAATCCTCAATAAAATTTTAGCTATCAGAATCCAACAATGTATCCAAAAGATAATTCACCACGACCAAGTAGGATTCATTCCAGGGACACAAGGATGGTTTAACATCCGAAAATCAATCAACGTTATCCAACACATCAACAAAAAGAAATATAAAAACCATATGATAATATCAATAGATGCTGAGAAAGCTTTCGACAAAGTGCAACACCCATTCATGATAAAAGCCCTTGAAATTCTTGGGATACAAGGAACATACCTCAACATCATAAAGGCCATCTATGACAAGCCAACAGCCAGTATCATTCTCAATGGTGAAAAGCTGAAAGCAATTCCATTAAGATCTGGAACAAGACAAGGATGTCCACTCTCACCACTGCTTTTCAATATAATACTGGAAGTCCTAGCCAGAGCAATAAGACAAGAGAAAGACATCCAAGGAATCCAAATAGGAAAAGAAGAAGTCAAGCTATCACTATTTGCAGATGATATGATAATATACATAGAGAACCCCAAAAAGTCCACAGAAAAACTAATTCAACTCATCAATCAGTTCAGTAAAGTGGCAGGATACAAAATCAACACGCAAAAGTCAGTAGCCTTCCTATACACAAACAATAAATCTGAAGAAGAAGAAATCAAAAAAACCATCCCTTTTTTTATTGAAACAAAAAAAATCAAATATTTGGGAATAAATCTAACAAAAGAGGTAAAGGACCTATACAAAGAAAACTATAAAACACTGTTAAAAGAAATAGAAGAAGACACAAAGAAATGGAAAGACATCCCCTGCTCATGGATTGGAAGAATAAACATAATTAAAATGGCCATCCTTCCAAAAGCAATATACAGATTCAATGCTATTCCAATCAAAATTTCAATGTCATTCTTCAAAGAAATAGAACAATTATTGATGAAATTCATATGGAATCACAAAAAACCCCGAATAGCCAAAGCTCTCCTGAAAAAAAAAGAAGGGAATGGAGGCATCACACTCCCAGACTTCAAACTCTACTACAAAGCCATAATCATCAAAACTGCATGGTATTGGAACAAGAACAGACATACAGACCAATGGAATCGAATAGAAAATCCAGAAATAAACCCACAGATTTATGGTCAACTAATCTTTGACAAAGGAGCAAAGAAAGTTTGTTCAATAAATGGTGCTGGGAAAACTGGGTCGCTACATGCAAAAGAATGAAGCTTGACCACTACCTCACACCATACACAAAAATCAACTCAAAATGGATTAAAGAACTAGACATAAGACCTGAAACCATAAAATATATAGAAGGAAATATAGGATAAACACTACGTGATTTGCACATCAAAGACATCTTTACAGACACATCACCCAAAGCAGTGATAGTGAAGGCAAAGATAAACAGCTGGGACTACATCAAATTAAAGAGCTTCTGCACAGCAAAAGAGACAATAACAAAAACAAAGAGAAACCCCACCAACTGGGAGAACATTTTTGCACCCAACACTAATGATAAAGTACTGATCACAAAAATCTGCAAAGAGCTGATGAGACTTAACAACAACAAAGAAAAGAATCCAGTCAAAAAATGGGCAGAAGAGCTAAAAAGAAACTTCTCTGAAGAGGAAATGCAAATGGCCAACAGGCATATGAAAAAATGTTCAACATCACTTGTCATCAGGGAAATGCAAATCAAAACTACCATGAGATACCATCTTACACCAGTGAGAATGGCACATATTAAAAAAACTAGCAACAACAAATGTTGGCGAGGGTGTGGAGAAAAAGGAACTCTTCTGCACTGTTGGTGGGAGTGCAAACTGGTCCAACCACTGTGGAGAGCTGTGTGGAGATTTCTGGACCTACTAAACATAGAGCTTCCATATGATCCAGCAATTCCACTCCTAGGTATTTACCCAAAGGACACAGAAACATCCATTCCAAAGAACACCTGCACCCCTATGTTTATAGCAGCACTGTTTACAATAGCTAAGCTTTGGAAACAGCCCAAATGCCCAAAAATAGATGACTGGATCAAGAAGATGTGGTACATATATACCATGGAATATTACTCAGCATTCAAAAAAGATAAACACATGCAATTTGCAGCAACATGGATGGCACTGGAAGGGATCATGCTCAGCGAAATAAGCCAAAAAGAAAAAGAAAAATACCGGATGGTCTCACTCATAGCAGGAATCTAGAAAACTTAAATAAGGGACCAGGAAAACGAATAACTATAAGAAAGTGAAAAGCAAAATCAACAAAAAACTACGAACCAGAGACACTTTTAGGGGGGCGGAGGTGGGAGGGGAGGGATTGGGGTCAGAATGGGGGGGCTGCAATTGTATGGGGAATATAAAAATAAAATTTATTATTAAAAAAATAAATAAATAAAATAATGTGAAGCCAAAAAAAAAAATAAAAAATAAATTGAAAAAAATAAATCCCATTTCCTGTTAACATATAATAAAATCTCAGTTAAACAGCTAGTGGGAAAAAAAAAATAAAGTGTACAGTTCGATAGTTTTTAATATAATCAAAGAGCTGTGCAAGTATCATCACAATCACGGAACTTTTCACCACCACCCCCAAAAGCCCCAGTGACTTCTCATTTCTCTCTAATCCCTCCCTCCTAGCCCTCACCTGCCACTTAGCTGAATTCTGTCTCTGTAAATTTGTCTAATCTTGGCATTTCCTATAAATGGCATGAGACATTCTTTCACTTAATGTGTTGATTTCAAGGTCCATGCAAGTATCTGCATTTCATTCCTTTTTATATACAAAATAATAATATTCCTTTGTATGGATACACCGTGTTTGATTTATCCATTTACCACACGAAGGATATTTGAATTGTTTCATGAACAATGCTACTGTGGACGTTCATGTAAAAGTTTTGTGAAAACATATGCTTTTATTTCTCTTGAGTATATACTAAAAGTGGAATTTTTCTGGGTCATGTAACTTCATGTTTAACGTTTTGAGGAGTTGCCAGTCTGTTTTGAAAAGTAAGCATGCCATATTACATCCACTCCAGCAGTGCCGAGAGTGCACTTTCTCCACAGCCTCTCTAAAAAAAGTCTTTGTCTTTTTCACTATAAGCCATCTTAGTGTGTGTGCCGGGGGATCTCACTGTGGGTTTTTGCATTTTAGCATTAGCATTTCCTTACTGGCTGATGATCTTTACCATCTCATGTGCTTATCGACCATTCATATATCTTCCTTAGAATAGTGTCTTTTCAGATCCTCCCTTCATTTTTCAGCTGGATTGTCTTTTTTTTTTTTAATTATTGTTTTGTAAGAGTCTTTTATATGGATGCAAGACCCCTATCAGACATGTGGTGTGCAAACATTTCCCTCCATTCTTTCGATTGTTTTTTTACTTTCTTGGTGGTGCCTTTGAAACACAAAAGCTTTAATTTTGATGAAGTCCAGTTTATCTATTTTTTCTCTTGTTACTTGTATTTTTAGTGTCAGAACTAAAATAAACCATTGCCTACTTTAACATCAAAAATGTATGCCTGTATTTTTTTGTAAAATGATAGAGTGTCAGCTTTAACATTTAGATTTCTTTTCTTTTCTCTTTTTTTTTTTTGTGTGTGTGTGACCCTCACCGGTGGCCGGGGATTGAACTGGTGCTGCAGAGGCTGCGGCCAGCCTCGCAACCCAGCGCTCAACTGCTGCACCACCAGGGGAAACCCTAACATTTAGATTTCTATACCATTTGAGTTAATTTTTTCATTCATTATGAGGCAGGAGTTCAATTTCATCCTTTTGCATGTGACTACCTAGTATCCTATATCATTTGTTTTTGTAAATAATGTTTTATTGGGACATAGGTATACCCATTATTTGGATGTTATTGAATACAGTTGCAGAGTTGAATAGTTGTTACAGAGACTGTATAATTCCTAAGCTTGAAACACTTAGTGTCTTTACGCACATGCAAAATATGAATAAATGAGCTTTAATTCATATATAAATATATGACTATCGATAGTGCTGTCATATCTCACTGGAAGATGTCCCCAGAAGGAATCAGAAAAGAGGAATTATTGACAATATTTATATCTTGCAAAAAAAAAAAAAAAAAAAACCGTGGGCCAGGTGATGTAGGTTAAGTCTCAGCTTTGCCACTTATGTAAGTCATTACATAAGCTATTAGCATCACTCTCCCTTACTGGGCTTTTGTTTTGCTTTTTTATTAACAAATCTGTGGATGCAAGACAGAGCTTGGTCTCAGGGTTGAATGGAGATGGCTTCAGTCTTCTGACTAGTTGTGCAACCTTAGCAGGTTGAGCCTCTATTCTCTGTGAGTTTTAAAGTCTTCATCTGAGAAATAGGGGAGAACAATAAATATATCAGGTTATTGTAAACATTTGAAGAAATAACCTAGAGAAAATATCACCATACAGGTTCTGGAGTACAGACAGAAAGGAGTTCCTGACAATATCCATATTCCACTCAAACTGGGTAATCTACAGCCAGCCTGATGCAGATATAGCAGCAAATATATGAATTTTCTATTAAGCCTTTTCTGTTGCTTCTAAAATTATGATCCTTCCTTTATGCTCATATAGCATATTGTATCTCTGTAACAGAATTTTTTCCCTAAGTCTTTGCCCTCCAGATGCTAATTGCCTGTGGATAACCAATGTCCATAGTATGACTCTCAATAAATGTCTAGATGCCAGCATTCACATTTTATGTTCTTTTCTTTCAAAATAACAGATGAATGCAAAAGACCACACATTCCCAAATCACTGGCATCCAAATGATGTTGTTTGGGTTCAAGCTTGCCTGCTCTAAGCTATTGAGAAATTAAGAAAAATTCAAGAAGCACATTTCAGAGACCCACTCATTCTTAGAACTTTTGTGAATTGTGATCTTTACATCTAGGTTCTTGACCATTCTTGACCCCACTTCAATCAAAATCCCAAGAGGTACAACATCAGTCCTGGAGCCCACCTCTTAGAGGACTATTGGAAACAATTGGAGTGTGTTCAAAGTAACAAACAGAAAATGAAATTTAGGAACAGCAGAAAGGATCTTGGGCTTGCAGGAAACTAATTTAGAAAAGAAACTTAGGAAACATGGAACTGTGAAAATTTAAAATATACCCCTGAAATCTCACTCCGAGGAATTCACTCTAAGGAATCATTCCATAAGTGTTCAAAGATAAATGCAAATGGATATTCATGGAAGCATTCTTTAACAGTGTGTGTGTATGTGTATGTGTGTAGAATTGGAAACAACCAAAATTTCCAGACATTAATTCAATGGAAAAGTATGGATACAGTTAACTCTTGAACAAGGGGATAGGGGCTCTGACCTACCACTACTGCAATTAAAATATATATATATATATATATATATATATATATATAAAATTTATAATTGATGCTGTACTTGCAAATTTTGCATCCACATATGCAACTTACCAAATCTGGGACTGGAACCCCAAGGAAGAAAGCAGAACCCACAGATGGAAAAAACTTCATATAACAATATGTTACTTAAAGGTCAACTGTACATCCACACAAATAAGCATGATGCAGATGTTAGGAATGATAAATTTAGGAGCTTTCATGAGCTAATGTTGAAATGGTAAATTGATACAAATGTTGTAGAAAAGTAGCAATTTCACTCCCAGTATATACCCACTTGGAAGTCTTTACAAGTATACTGAATGGACTTTATTGACATCTTTATTTGTAATAGGTCCAAACTGAAGACATACTAATAAGTTCAACATTGAAATAGAAAAACCAATTATTATAAGCCATATATTGGAGTACTATAAAAATAAAAAAAATACAACCACACAGTTTTATGTATGTGAAAGAATTTCACAAAATAGTGAGCAAATAAGCTAGACACAAAAGAATATGTTTAATTCTATAAAGTTAAAATTCAGGCAAACTAAGTTTGAAGTCAGGAAACTGGTCACCTTGGAGAGAAGAGAGGCAGTGGTGGTTAGAGTGGGGTGGGAGAGAAATAGGGAGAGGTGCTATGCAGTAGAGAGGGAAATGCTAAAAGTCCACATTTTGCTTCTACATTTTGTGGACATTTTGTGCTTTTTTTCAACAAAAAGCAAAAGTAATTAAAAAATAGTTTACCACATATGAGAGGAAAGAAAGCAGATTATAGAACCATTTTATAATAATATTTCACTTGGGTTAGAAAAAGAGAGATTAATTCTGATTGAGAAATTCGGGAAATATATGCCCCAAGATGTTAGTAGTGATTACTTTGTGGGAGAATTGTCACTTGCTGCTTTATACATTTCTATACTGCTGAATCTTTAATAATAGCTATTACTTTATACCACAAGCCAGTCCTATTCCTATCTGCCAGGTTGCTGGGTCAGTAAGCCCAAGGGAAATGGAGCAGAATGTGTCTTACAATTTACGTAACTGAAACTGCCTCCCCTGGCTCCTGACCATGATCTGGTGTCGATGCACCAACCTGGGGCATCAACATCTTTAATGCATCACCCCAGGTCCCCCAACTTCATTCCTGCTCGTCTCCTCAGTCGCTAGGCAATAAGCAATTAAATTTTGGAAAGCCTTCTCCACCCTGGATATATTATCCTGGAAATTGGACTTTGCATCTGGTAGTCTTAGAAAGCAAAATTTCCCTCCCTTCAGTCCCCCCTCCCCGACCCCACCCCCTGGCTTACAATTGACTCACAATTTAATTAAAAAGATTCCAGGGACATCTGGTCTCCTTTTCTAGGAGTGCATTTGCAGTTGGTTTTTCTGGCATGTTTTTGTTTGCAATCCAAGGCTTATTTACAGAGGCAGACTCAATTTTTCGTCTCTTAGGTATATATTTGAAGTCTTTATTAATTATAGACTATGACCATTCATCTGCATTGTAAGCTCCTACTTGTCTATTTCACCCTGAATGCTGTGACACCACCAGTGCCGGCCACTCTGCAGACCCCACCAGAGCACAACGTGCCTTGAGGAATCCAGAGCACAGTCTCCCCAATCCCTGGGATCCTTGCCATCAACACAACTCTTTAGTTGGTCATTTTCTTTAATAGTTACAAAATAAATATAGAATGTGCTCTCAGATATGTATGGAGGGTAAGAGCAGAACCAGAAGTTGGATCGGTAACCTCTGACAAACCATCCATTCTCTCCGGGCCTCTGGTCCACCTGTAAAATAGGGTGCTGGATTTAGCTAGCATTTTCCAAACAGTGGGTTACATCCATACTTTCGTGCTTTGGTCTGTATGTGCATGTCCCCTCTGTTGGTATTTATACAATATTTTCTTCAAATACTGTTTTCCCCATAAAGGTGAGTATTAAATCACTGCATCAAGGTAATATATAATCACTCACCATAAATAGAAGGTAACTTTAAAGGGAGTATAGAGAAAACAGAATGTTGATATCTTATCATCTAATATTGTTTCTTGCCAAGGCTTTGTGCCTGAGACCTGTTCTTTGCTAAAAGAGAGAATTAGGAAATCTTAGAGACTTGTAAATGGCAGGCTGATATCATTTTGAGCCTTTCTCCTTAGACAATACCTGAAGGACTGAAAGAGAACTGAGGAGGAAATAAACTCCTGATTATTGGATAACTTAAAAACAATGGTCAAGATTATCTGTCAAATCTTTTCTGGCTCCAACAATCCGGAGAGAATGGACCATGGCAGTGGGCAACTGCTGGCTCAGAGGTTGATGTTGAGGCCATTCCCACTGAGGTGGGGAAAAAACTTTTTTTCAATTGAGGTAATATTGGCTTACAATGTTATAAGTGAATTACCGGTAGAGGAACCCCTCCCCCCCAAATCTTAACACTGGCAGACTCTGCAAGTAGTCATCAGGTCCCCCGAACTACCCCACCCGAGGCTGGTTTCCCGTCTAGCTTTCTCCAGGATCGCATCCAGGTCCTCTCAGTTACAAGGAACACATTCCCAGCAGAACACCCTCCAGTAAAACCTCCAGGGCTGCAAGCTTCATAGGGCTTCGAGGCAGGATTCATATCAATGACCTGGGAATCCAGGTCATTGCAGGCACCTTCTCTGAGTTATGACAACCTGCATCGCCAGAGAGCAGTTATGCATGGTGCACAAGGAGGGGATACTGTTAAGGAATACCTTTGATCGGTCACTCATTTGTTCATTCATTCATTCACTCAACTATAAAAGGCCTGCCTGGGTTTGTGGTCACATAAGTAGTTGCAAGTTCAAACATGAACATGCCACTTACTGTTCCCTTGAACACTTGTTTGCACCTATTTCTCATCTATAAGGTGGGATTAAAAGACCCATTTCATAGATGCCTTTGTGAGGACTAGTAGCATTGTATATCCTCTGATCCTGCACATTCAGTCTTGAGAGAAAGATAGACAAAACCTAAAGCAGAATGCAGTGGGCTACAAAATATTAAAAGACAAGATCACTAACTGTTTGGAGGCCAGAGGATGGAGCAGCCTTCTCAGTCACCCAGACTTCACTTTACCTGACCCTGAAGGGTGGGGCATTTTCGGAGGCAGAGAACACAGGACTGAGATACTGAGCAGAAGGAAGGCTTGATGGAGAAGAGGGGGACTATGTGATCCAGGGAGTGGGGTGGCACAGCTAAAGCAGGAGATCAAGGGAAAGGGTGCAGGGGTGTTGCTTTTGAAAAGGTTCAATAATCCCTTGCTTATGCCACAGCCTCTACCTGTTCCTGGGCACCTTTATCATTGATGGAGCCTGAATCAAAGGGAATCCTCACTGCAGGTCCCTGTGCAGGGATATTTCACACACTGTAGCAAGAAGCCATTTCTGGTCACAGCAGTATCAGAGGGAAGACGCAGAGAACTTTGCTGCAGGTTTAAGCAGTAGTGGAAGCAAACCAAGACAACCGTGGAAAATTATTACTTGAATTAAACCCTAGTAGCCTTTGTGCCTTATTCTCACCAGGCAGAGAGGATGGGAAGAGAAGAAGCAGGCTGCTCAAAGTTCTTCAGCTGATGTCAAGCATAAAAGATGTCCACGTGTTTTAGAAACCTTTGCTAACAAGTGTCCCTTATCACACTTTCAATGGAAGTGAAATTCTTAGCTATTAGAAATAGTCTCCTCACATTTAGAATGGGAACAGTCATCCCTAGATTGATCTATTAAGGGCTTCCAGGAATCTCAAAATTAAGTAATGCTTTGAAACTATTTCAAAAGCTGATAAGTACCAAATGAATGTACAAAAAGTACTCCACGGCGGTGATGTTACTGCACAAACAATTTTGAATCCTGCATTTTTATGCGATATTATACCCTAAACATCTTCCACATTCCTGGAAATTCCTTATACTGACTTTAATCACCATCCACTATCCTATAAAATACCCTAAATTACTTGAATACTCCCTATAACTGGACATTAAGATTGTTTTCAATTATCTTTGTTTAAAGATTTATTTATTTATTTATTTGTGACCTCATAGATTATTTATTTTCAGCCACCTAACTGGTTAAAAGCCCAAAGATGACAATAATTGCCATTTTAAAGTTCTTCTTTATATATTTATATATATATATATATATCATTATAAAACATTATACAACATACTATTTTGTCCTTATACAATCATGTAAGGTAGATTCTGATAATACTCCCATGGGGAGGAGGAGGGAGAGGGATCAGAAGGAGGGAGGGAGGAGCACAGGGGACTGAGGTGACGGTGCACGGGTGCATTGGGGAAGGAAACTCTATGGGGACTACACCTGAGGGGGTTGGGGGGATTGTTTAAAAATGAACAATGATGTAAAAATTAAAAAAAATAATATTAAAAAAAACAAATGCAGCTATTGAGCTTTTGAAAAATGGCTATTGCAGCTAAAAAGCTAATTTTTTTTCATTTTAATCCATTTAATGGAAATATAAATAACAGATACAATTTTAAATTTCACAATTGTAAGCAAGGCAAAGACTAGCTAGAGACTCCAAAGCTGCATATTGATCATCTTATTGAATTGTGATAAGAGCAAGAAACAGATTTTTAATTTGTTAAACTACTGATGTTTGGAGATTGATAAAGCTGTTTAAGATTTATTTATTTTTGCACACAAGAACTGGGGTATAGGCCAGAGGTGTGGGGCATGAGAAGATTCACCAGAGACAGAGTGGAGAACAGAACAGACAGACTGACCAAAATACACTGCTGAGGGGAGCTGTGGGAGAGACAGGAGAGGTCTGCTGCACCATCTGGGTCCCTGATTGGGGATTGAACTTGTGCTGCAGTGGCTGTGGATAGCTTCATAGTGCTGAGACTTAACCCCTTGCACCACCAGGGAGGCCCTGTTTTTAATTTTCTGCTCATAAGACTAATATAAAAATACCCGTCTTTATACACACAGGGTTTACCCCCCTTCTTCTAAATATTTTTAACATTTCAGATGGTTTCCTTGTCACGGAGGCATCACTGTGGGAAAAAGGAATGAGTAGCTGCAGACTCTGGATGCATACGACAGGTTATCCTCCGAAGGATGGTGCTAGTTCATCCTCCCATTGACAGTGCGTGAATGTGGGCACTGGCTCTTCTATGCCTAGTCTGGAACCCCCTGAGGACAGAGGCTGTGCCCTATTTACTCACCCTGGTAACTCAAGCATCCCCCACTGTGTGGGGGAATGAATCAGGCCACATCATTTCTGCTCCCAGAATGAATGCTCACTTCTGTCTCATCAGATCTGTGTCTGAAAACAGAGAAGACCATTTGATTTTGAACTTCACAATGATAACAAAAAGTACATCTGTGAAAGAAAGAACTCACACACTGGAAACAAAGCTAAATAAAAACCTAAGATGGCAAGACATTCTGGAGGGCTCTGCTGTTACACGATACTGGTATTAGCTGCAATCTCTTGTACTTGGAGAATTATTCAACCTGTGGTCTGGCTTCGTAAAGAGAAATGGGCAGCTTTTGTATTATGTGTAATATAGAAAGGTTGACCTTTGGAAAGAAGTGATCACGTAAATGATTGCTCAGCTTAATTTTTTAAATAATTCCAGCCCTTTCATTCCCTTTTTTGGGTAGGCAACTTGGCTTCCGGGGGAGGAGGACTAGACGCCTTGAACTTGACTATGTGGGTGGTTGGTCAGTAACTGTGACCCTAGAGCAGGGGTCGCCCCAGAAGAAGGCAGTGCTTGTCTCATGTTCCTTCAGATCCCAGCTCAGGGCCTCCCAGCAGCCCACGCTTCTCTTCTCCACCCTCTGCCTGCAGAGAGGCCAGTGAAAGAACTCATGTTTATTGAGCAGTGATTACGTCCAGCACTGTGCATGCCTTATCTCACTGCATCCTTAGAAAAATCTGGAATGTAGGCACCGTGCTCTCCATGTTATAAACAAGGAAACCAAGGCTTAGCTTTCCTCAGAGCCACCCAGCTGGTAGGTGGCAGAGCCAGGAATTTGATGCCACTGCCCCCACGCTGTTGCTGACAAGGAACTTATGCAAGAAAGGCCACCTCGGGGCCTCCCTGGTGGCACAGCGGTTCAGCGGTTGAGCGTTGGGCTGCAAAGCTGCCCACAGCCTCTGCAGTGCCAGTTCGATCCCCGACCGTTGGCAAGGGTCCCACATGGCACGACAGACCTCTCCTGCTGTGCCCGCTGCTCCCCTCAGCAGTGTGCTTCATCGCCCTGCCTGTTCTGTTCCCCACTCTGGCTCTGGTGAATTCTCTCGCCCTCCCACGCTTCTGACTGTACCTAGTGCTTGCACAAATAAATAAATAAATCTATAAAAAAAAAAAAAAGATAACATTGATTCACAACACTGTCCACAATGCAGAAATACAGGGTCCTTGTTGAATTTCTGAGTCTACCCGCTCATGTAACTGAGCAGGGGCTTAAAGGTCACAGCAAGTTAGTTACAGAACTGGGTCACCCTATAAACACCTTATACATCACCTCTTCATGCCCAGTGTGTGCAGTGGTTGTCTCTACCTTCAACAACCCGTCTATACCGGTCTAGAAGATAGGACATGGGTGAGGTCAGTATAATGTATGTTGTCCCTGTAGATCACAGTTGTAAACCAAAGGCATCAGAGGTTGAGTTCTGCTCTTTTGTGGCCCACAACCACACCACCACCACATCCTGGGAAAGACACCTGAGCCCTCTCGCTGCAGGCCAGAGGAACCCCTGCAGGGTGAGAGAGCAGCAGAGATGTCCCACTGAGCAATGCCTCTCCAGACCATGCAGGGGGCTCAGGCTGTCTTCGATGCCTAGAGATAAATCAGCTATAAAGCTGCTCTCACTAACCCTGGCGCTAATGAGGTCTTTGAACTAAACAAAATTCCTATCTGTAGTTTGAGCACAGAGGGAATTGCTCCCAGGCTGACAGCACAGAGCCCCTCATTAGCCATTTTCCTGTTCCCAGCAGGCTGGACCCTGCAGGCCAGCCATGCCGCAGACTATGGAGAGGGTTATGGCTTGGCAGGGACTGGCATTCCAGGCGTGACTGGGCTCCCCTCATCTTAGAGTGAGGTTTGTCCTGTCTCTCTCACAGAGAGAGAGACAAATTAATATACACAGAGTGCACGTCCAGTGTCTTCCTGTGAGCAGTGCGCCTAGGATGAAGGAAAGTGTGGAGATGGGGGAAGGGTCCTGCCAGCAAGGATGATGGTCCTCAGGAGAGGGAGGGGTAAGGTTACCTCTCCCTGGGGATTCTACTGAGGCCCAGAGCTTAGAGTCCTTCCAGAACTCAGATGCCTGCTCAGAACTCAGAGGCCATTACCTGGGCTCTCCTTGATACTCTCAGACCCCAGGCCTGAAGCCTGGGAAGCAGATACTGGTTTGCTCTAGAGGGTGCTGAGCTTGAACAAACATTTGCTCTGTACTGGGTTTGTTTCCAAGTAACTAATTCCATGTACTGTATGGTAAAAGAGGAGTCAGAATTCTAAAGCCCAGAGGGAACGTGATCAACCCCAGCTACACAGTCAGGTGGGGGCAGACTAGGGTCTCTAGTTTGGAGTTGGCTAAGTCCCAGCTCTCTCCCTGCTCACCCAGGACCCAGTCATGCACACATGTGCAGGAGGGATCTCGCAGTACCCCATCCCTCCACCTTCCTCAAGTTTCCCAGTACACCCAGTTTGTAGCCTACAGTGTCTCTCCTTTGGCCAGTGTTTCTGGTGCCTGCACCACCCCCAGACCCTCACCCCCATCACAGAAGGCAAGTGCTGGTTGCCTAGTACCACTGTTCTTCCAGCAGAGGCCTGAGTCAGAGGTTCTGCTCATTCCCAACAAGCAGAGGGAAGTGGGGAAGCAGCAGCCCTAACTGGCACAGGAGGCAGCACATGTTTTTCAAAACATTAACAACCACAAGCTAACATACACCACACACAGGGAATATGACCTCATAAAGAAAGCTCATCCAAGGCAGATGACAAATGGGAACTGGCCATTTGCGTGGCAGAGGTCCCTAGTGCTCAACCCCAGCTGGCTTAGCTGTGCACACACATCATTAGGACAATTCATGGGGGATGCCTGCCCAAGCGCCTGTGGGTTGGCATGCCTGGAAGGCACGTGCAGCAACTCTACTCACCCTGCAGCTTCTGTTCTTGAAGAGAAACCACTTCCCTCACAATGCATGCACTGGCCCAGTCCTAGCTGTGAGCCTCAGACTCCATGTTCAGACTTCCTAGCCAGAATTTACAGGATGCAAATATGCACACACCCGAGCGTGCACATCAAGCACCTCTGTGTATATGTGCCGAGTGTGTAGCTCACTGCATGTGTGTGTGCTCACTACATGTATCACCATGTGGTCTGCTAATGTGTGTGCACATGCATATGGATATACAGCTACATGGGTGCACTGCTGTGGACTAGCACAGCAGTAGACGATGAGGCCACCTCAGGGTTGAGAGAAGCGTGCAGGGTGGTCAGGGCGTCGGTGAAAGAAATGACAAACAGACACACTTCAAGAGTGAAAATCTGAGTGTAATTTTCTTTAAGTTTGTGACCAGTATATATGTGTTTTCCAAAAGCACAGGAATGAATATCAAAGAAATTAGCTTGCTCATGGGCTCAGTCTATCACCATCAGGGAGGTGATCTACATAACAAACAATGACCATTATAGAAGAAAGAAGGAAGCTTAGAAAGACAGATAAGGGATTAAAGTTTGTCTTGTAGTGGTTCCTGGTGGTCATTATCTATTGATAAGCGTCTGCCTTTTCAGGGAACTTCCGCTGCACTTCCTCTGCTTCAGGTTGTTATGCTGCTCTCCCCCTGCGCGCTGGTTGCCCAGCCAGACCTAGGGACTGTGGCGAAAGCCATTCCTAAAGGTCACTGCGGGGGGAGGTGCAGCAGGTATGTAGGGTTTTGCTGTTCTCCCCCTGCGCGCTGGTTGCCCAGCCGGACCTAGGGACGGTTAGCCCTAAAGGTCACTGCAGGGGGAGGTGCAGCAGTGCACGAAGAATACACACATACCAGTAACGCTACCCCATGCGCCTTGATGGCCTGCACTCATGATCCACATAGGTACGCACTATCTGCACAACACACGTTCACAAGTAGACGAGCCATCCACTTAACTGACACGCACGCATGCCCTAACCCCTCTGCCTCCAAAACCCAACTGGAATTGGTGCCAGGTGATTAACCACCACAGAAACGAGCCTCCTTCTCGCCTCATTTCCCAAATAATAGACACATACCGGGGTGGACCATTCACAAACGGGGAGACGTATCTCGTCAGAATGCATCTCTGTTGATTGGTTCCATCCTAATCAGAATGGCTGTTAAATCAGGGATCTTATACTTTCAACACTCATGTTTTTGTTTTTTGTTTTTAAGATTTATGTATTTATACAAGAACCAGGCCAGATGCACAGGAGGGTGAGAGGACTCACCATAGAGCGGGGAACAGAACAGGCAGACTGACGAAATATACTGCTGAGGGGAGCAGCGGGCGAGACAGGAGAGGTCTGTCCCGCCATGTGGGATTCCGTCTGGCCGGCCAGGATCGAACCCGTGCTGCAGAGGCTGCCAACAGCTTCACAGTGCAGCGCTCAACCATCTGTGCCACCAGGGAGGGCCCTCAATGCTCATGTTTTAACACCACAGTTTCCCTAGAGGTAAAGTCATAACATGGAAGTGGGGGTGTCTGCAAAGGCATTTAGAGGTCTAGAGAACTTAAGATGTCAAGCTTAAGCATCTACTTGGTGTGAAACTGGCATCAAAAGCTGGTGTCCTGACTCCCATGCTGGTTATTTTCCACTTATGCCCACTCACTTGTCAATATCAGCAAGTCTTGGGGGCACATCCACTCTGGACTAAGTTTGGTGCTAGATCCAAACATGAATGAGTTCTGACCTTGAAAAGCTTGGGTCGGAGTGTCTTTCTGTCCTCTCGTCTTGATCATTCCTGCTGCTGCAACATCCATTCGGACCTTCAGCTGACTGAGGAGAAACTCAGAGGGGTTTAGGGTTTAGCCCCTCTGCTGCCATGTCTGGACCACCCCTGGCTCTCCCAGCATCCTGGGAAGCTTTGGAGATCACACTTACAGATTGCTGATTAGAGATCATCCAGGTAACCCTGCATTTTGCAGCTGAGGCTAGAGATTCCTTAAGTACAGCTGCTTGATAAACCTCCTCAGCCCTTTGTCTCCAGGTCAAACAAGATTGAAGAAATGAGTGAGTGGCTGGTCTATGACTGGCACTCCTTTCATGTCAGTTTCCTGCCCTCTTGCCAGATGAGCCATCTCCCCCAGGACTTCATCCCCCATGATTGGGTCCCTCTCCTGCAAGGAATCCCCACTCCGATATCCTCACTTCCATCTCCTCCTCTCCCTGCCTCCTCAGGCTGTGTCCTTGAAAGTTGTCTGAAAAGAAGTCCCAGTTCTACTGTGCTTGATTGTTATAACCCCTGTTTGATTGGAATGGTGTCAACTGCTTGTGAGTGTGGCAGGGCCTCCCTAAAATTGCACACAACTCACTCACGTATGTGAGAAAGTGCACTTCTGTGATAAAGGATATTACTTTTTATTATATTATTGATGGGGAAAAGGCTTAGGGTTTAGCACCTCTGCCAAGGGCAGCAATAGGATGGGGGCTGTTTGACAGTGTTAGTGATGGTCTCATGTTCTCAAGTAAGAAAGACCCCATGGAATGGCATCGTGTAATGGTTGCTACTTGTCATTAGACAAAGACATTAGTCATTAGTTGTTAGCTACTTGTCATTAGACAAAGACATTTGTCTTTCTCCTGGACTCTCTCCAGGTTCTCAGAACCTCACATCCAACAATGGTAAAGAGAATTGACTTTGTAGTGTAGGCTACTCTGGGTAGCGGTTGAAGAGCTATATTAATTTGGGGAGATGGTTTCTCCTCTTTGGAGGAACAGAGACCTTATCGTAAGGCACTAGGACTAGACACAGGAGCATATCTGCAGTCAGCATCCCTGAGTTCCAATGCTGACTCCCCGCCATCCTGGGCAAGACACTAAACCTTCTTATTTAGCTCCAAGGTGGTAAAATAAGAATTATTAAATATATGTTGGACTCACATATGGATTGAGATAACACATCAAATCCGACATGGTGCCTTCACATAGTTTGTGTTCAGACATCAGCTCTCTTCTGCCATCTTTTCTCCAAGGAGGGACTTTGTTAGGTGGTCAACACACTCTGATCCCCAATCAGAAAGGAGTATCCTGATGTCAGTGAAGAAGGTTAAGCTACAACTGCCCATCCTCTCCTGCCCCTGTGAAGTGTCTTCTTCTCTACTTCAGCCTACAAATGACCACACTCCATAATGATGATGACGACATAAAGAAAACTTCCTGCACCACAGAATACTATGGCTTTGTGTACCTAGAAGATTTGAGGAGTGAAATACTTTGGCAAAGGGCCTCATGTGCTTGGAAGGAAGATGAGCCTTCTTTGTTTTCCCTGTTAAAGAATAACCACACTGCATGATGGATAGAAGTTGAAGGCCCATCTCTGTTGGCACAGCCCACTGGCTATCTAGCATCCTTCCTCTGCTTGACATACAGAGGAGAAGCAGGGATGATGATATGGTCCAAGGGACACAGGGCAGGCCTGAGTCACTGAGTGCAGGCTGGGAGCTCTGGGAACCCCATGTCACATGCGTGGTGCACATCCCAACACAATGGCAACTGGTGACTGGGATGGTCTCTTGTATCCTATCCCCAGAGGCAGATGCTCCAATTTGGGTCATGGAAACAGCAGCAGAACTTCTTATTTAAGTAGTTCTTTTCAATTTCTCACAATTACTCTGTACACTGAGCAAGTTGGTATTACCCCATTTGGGAGATAAGAAAATTGAGGTTCCTGAAAGACTGATTGGCAACTGACACCAGTGGCTCTCAACTCTGGGTGACTCTGACCCCATCCAGGGACTATATGGCAACCTCTCAGCAGACTTCTGCTTGTCACAACTGGGATGCTACTGATATCTAGTGGGTGATATCTAGTGGGTAGAGATACTGGTGAACAACCCAATGCACAGGAAAGCCCCCACAACAAAGAGGCATTCAGCCCAAAATATTTATAGTGCTGAGGTTGGGGGACCCTGATGTAGACCCTCTAGTATGTCCTCAGCTTTTATCTCCTAGAATAAACAAGAACAAGAATTAGTGAGAAAGATCTTTCTACTCTGGTTGCTATTTTGGGTTTTGAAAAGTGACACTAACTTTGACAAGAGAATATCCTTCTAGTTCACCCTGGGTGATGCCCCCCTTCTCCTGCATCTGCCAGTGAGTAACATTGACTCGCCCTAGGCTCTCCCCACATGATGTCCCAGCATTATCATCTCTGACTCATGGGCGGTGACAGGAGGGTACAGGAGGGAGGCATCTCCTTTGCCAGGGGTCTTTGGCAATACTTTCTTCTCAGAAAACCTTCTCTGTGGGAACTGGGGACCACAGTGACAGCTAGCTCATTGGTTCCCACAGGAGGTAGTTCCTCACAACACCATCAGCTTTTCAAGCTAGAAGAGCACTTTCAGATCATTTTGTTTCCTGCACCCCTATTGCACTCTGGATCTTTTAGTGATGAGGAAAATAGGAAAATGAGGCCCCTGGTCACTTGGTAAGAACAAAACTAGAACCACATCTTCTTCTAAACGCCCCCCCCCCCCATCCCTGGTCCCATGCCTAGAAATCCTTCCACAGCAACCTCTGCCCACAATTCTCCAGACTCCTAGTGTGGACTGGCATTGGGTGGAGTTTCCCCAACTTTTCCCCCGGGTTAATGGACTGGAACAGCCAGGCCCAAGTGATTGTGCTGGGATTGGGTTTCTGGGCTCAGTAATGGCACCAAGATGCTACAGTACC